TACACATTTTGGGTTTTATTACTCACACAGTTCTTCTTATTTTTTTTGTGAAGAGAGTAAAACCAAATGTGACATAACAGAAGAGAGTCAGTCAAATCAAAAGGATGGACATAATACATAATGTAAAAACAAAATACAAGGTGATCAACAATGGTTACCATAATGCCTCTTGCTATCTTAAAAAGAATTGCCTATATCATCAGTTATACTAAAATTGAACAAAACAGTAAAGAACAAAACCAATAAAACCAAAACATTGGAGACATTACAGGTCTTCAAAAGAAGATAATAGTTAACCAGAATGGGCGTCATAATGAATCTTATTGTCTTCAGAGTTGTTGCCTATATTTTCAAACTTGGTACTATCAAGTAAAACAGAAGAGGAAAATCAGTCAAGATGGTGAGAGCAATACAGGGTTTCAAATCAAGGTAATAGGACATCAAAGTGGGTTACTATAATATATCCCGCTCTTTTTTATTTATTTTTCCCTTAATTAAAGGAATAAAAGTAAAAAAGTAAATAATAAAAAAAGGAGATTGAGCTAAAAGAGGGCATAACAACAAAACAGCGCAGGTCAAAATATAGCCATTTAAGCAAAATAGCAATTCACCACCAGAAAATCCCGACATAAAAATAGTTACCATAGTGTCTCTTTCCTTGAAATCTTTGAGTATAACTTTGTATACTGTAGCATTAAACATATCAAGACAATGTAAAACCCTTCAAGGGAATGACAGTATTACAGGGTATTTAAAATCAACTAACAGAAAATGAATAATGGTTTCTGTATAATCTCCTTGTCTATAAAAATTTTGTTTATCTTATCACATATAATAAAATCCAATAAGATACAACATGTTAAGACCAATGGAGATGGAAGAACAAAAGCTTGATGGGACTTCATAACAAGATGATATTAAATTAGCACTAGCTATTATGATGTCTTGTTTTCTCCAAAATAGCTGTTCCTAGCATCTAACCTTCTCTGCCTCATTTCTGTTGAGCTCTTTTTCTGTCATTAGTTGTTAGTTTGTCTTCTTCATTTCACTTTCTGCTCCATTCATTGTGGCCTCTCTGCACTTTTTCTGGAATCTTGACATTTTTCTTTTTTAGAATATCCTGCAGTATTCTCTGTAGAGTTGAACTGGTGGTTGCAAATTCCCCTAGTTCCTCTTTATCCTGGAAGCACTTTGTTTTTCCATCAATTTCTAGGGACAGTTGTGCAGGATGTATCCATCTTGGCTGGAGGTTATTATCTTTCAAAGCTTGAATTATTTCCCCCCAACGCACTTCGTGATTTGATGGTTTGTGTCAAGAAGTCTGCTGTAATTCTGATGGGTATTCCCTTGTAAGTGATGTGTTTCTTGTCTCTGACAGCTTTTAATATTTTGTTCTTACATTGGATTTCTGGAATTTTGATTATATGCATTGGTGTGGCTCTGTTTGGATTGTAGGTGGCTGGGGTCTTGTATGCCTCATACATCTGAGTATCTTTATCTTTTGCTAAATTAGGGAAATTCTCCTGGATTATTTCTGTGAATAGCTTTTGTAATTCATTTGTTTGTGTCCCTCCTGCTTTTATGTACTTAATTCTTAACTTATAGATCCTTTATCATCTTCTAGCCTTGTATTATTGCTGTTTGTTTCTTTTGTTTTTAAGAAGTTTTTCATTTCATGCTTCCACCTTACAAATCTGTCTTCCAGTTCAGATAATCTATTCTTTGTTTCTGTCAAGCTGTTATGCCAGCTTTCAATAGAGTTTTTAGTTTCCTGGTAATCTCTTTGAATCTGCTTCACGTATTCTATGTTTTCTCTATTTTCTCCATCAAACAATTCTCCCCATTTTTTCTGTTCTTCCATTCCACTATCTGTTTTTTCTTGGGCAATGCTTAACATTTCTCTAACTATTCTACTTATATCTTGCTTTATTTCATGAAATACTTCACTTTTGAACTCATCTATGAGGCTCCGGAGATATCGCTTTATGTCTATTGGTGCCATGTCTAATATTGCATGTTTTCTGTCATCATTCTCCTTTGCATTTACCTTTCCTGAATTGTGTTCTCAGGATTGGGGACTGAGGACCTTCCTTGTTGCTCCCTCTTCCCATACTTTTTGTTCCTTCCATACAAGCATATATAGGAAGCTGTTTTTTTTTTCTTTGTTGGTTACATTTTTGTTTGAATCCACTGGCTAGGTGTTCCCGCCCACAGTGCAGTGTACTAGGGAGACACAGATGTGGGCAGCCTCTGCTGGGCCTGCCCCTCCAGGTCAACCTACTGAAGGCTTCACTGCTAGGGTGCACCGCCATGTGCTGGGACCTGGTTTGGGCTAGCCTACTGAATCTTAGTCTGTGGCATCAACCAGGCCAAGTGCTCCCCACCAATCCTGCTTGAGAGGGGAATATGCAACTAAAGTCACTGCAGTGTCCTGTTCTGGCTAGTCTGCCCGGTCCCAGAATGTCCTCTGTTGGACCCTCCTAGTCTATGGAAGACTCCCCTTTACTCTCACTCACCACAGGTCAATGTAAGGCTCCCCGCCAGTCCCACTCTCAACTCTATTTGCCAATTCCCGCTTTTAGAGCTTTCGCATATCTCTCTCCCTGCTGTGCTGATTCAGATGCAGTGGCGGTGGCAAGAAATTCATATCCCAGCTTCCAGTGGCACAGGTTCCAGCTTCTGCACAGAGATATTATCTGTTCCTGTTGAGCACCAAGATTGCATTTCAAGTTGGTTTCTCTCAGCTTAGTTCCTTCTTGGGTTGGCAGGGTATATCTCCCTTTGCTTAGGACTCCTCATACCGCACCATTCCTGGATTCTTAGCTGGCAATCTCAGAGATCCTCCGTAGCTGCTGTTATCTGTCCCCAATGTTCTCCCAGAAGTCTACTGCATGTAATGTTAAAACATTACTCTTTTTCTCATCTATTGGCTGCTGGGTTGATTTCTTATGTTCCCTTGCTAGTTTTGAGAAATCTTTCTTTTCTAGTCACTAACTACATGTCTGTCATCAATATTTGACATTCTGTTCTCACATTGGCCTAATTTGCTTTGAATACTTTCAGTACAGTTTTTATTCTTCTAGATATCTGCTTGAATTTGCTTTATGGTTTCCATTTGTTTCCTATGTTACCTTCCCATAATTTGCATAATTTCAAATATTTTTGTTTGGGTCTCCTGTAACATCACTAAGCATGGTATGAATTTGTAATCTCTGTAGTTATTTGAGAGATTATTCCTGATTTTATTTTTTCTGGAGCATCATTCATTCAATTGCTTTGTTACCACTTTTTGGCAACCTGGTGGCGCTTTTCAGATTTTCCAGCCTCCCTGCTCCCTGGGTTTGCTTTTGTTGAACTAAATGTCTGTGGTTATGTCTTGTTTAAATGCCTTCTCATATATTTCCAAAAGAATGCAAAATAATTCTGTACAATATATAAATGTGTAATATATCGATTTTGTCCCAAGTGTTAAGAGTCAAATGGATTAAAGAGAAAATGGAAAATTGGGAAAAGAAAAAGATTACATGTAGCTTGGATCCCACCAACTTGGGGACACTGATGCAGAAGACTAAAGTAAAAGAGAGCTGGAAAAAATAAAAGGTAGAACAGAACAAAACCACACCCACAGGAGGTTAAGAACCACACTCACGCTCAAAAAAAAAAAAAGATTAAAAGAGACTGATAAAAAACTAAATCAAGCAAACAAAGAAACAAGAAAAGAAAAATATCAACAAAACAAAACCAAAAAGTAGTCTACTTCCAGGATTCTTAGTGGAGCCTGTGGAGATAGCATACAAAATCCTGTTACTTAATCCCCACAATCAAGGAGTTGCTTTAGAGGAAATAGTTAGAGAACTTTAGCAAGCCTACCCTCAGACCAGACTGATTGGGCTGACCATGGTCCTAGTATTTTCCACAGTTCTGTGCCCAGCTACAATCTGCTGGAGAAAGGAATCAATATTCTTCACTCTGGGCTTATCTGGGGCAATTCCAAAATGGCTGCCAGCCAATAGCTTCTTCCTTCAGGAGGACCAAGTCCCTGTTACTTAATCCCCACAATCAAGGAGTTGCTTTAAAGGAAATAGTTAGAGAACTTTAGCAAGCCTACCCTCAGACAAGACTGATTGGGCTGACCACGGTCCTAGTATTTTCCACAGTTCTGTGCTCAGCTACAAACTGCTGGAGAAAGGAATCAATATTCTTCACTCTGGGCTTATCTGGGGCAATTCCAAAATGGCTGCCAGCCAATGGCTTCTTCCTTCAGGAGGACCAAGTCCCTGGCACTCAATACCATCCAGCAAATTTCTACACGTCCTCTGCTCCCCTCTGCAATCAAATCTTTCCACAGAGGCCTGAGGTTTCCCAGCTGCCTCCACCACCACGTGTCCCCAGGTTCCAACAGCTGCCCTCAAGAGTGAGTCTGGCTCCTGGCAAAGCTGCCACCAGCTACTACCTTCTTCACTGAAGTTTTCCTTTTCCCTGTCCCTGTGAGCTTCAATTCAGACCTCAGACTCTTCTATGTCCAGGGGACCAATTTTCTTCTTTCTTGTCTTCTTCATGACAGTGTATGCCCAATTCTAGATGGTGTCTCTCAAGAGGTTATATGTTGCTTGCTACTCTGCCATCTGGAGTATCTTTTAAAGAACAAACACATATATGAAGTATTCATATGACAAAAATCAAATGGAAAAAGCAAACTGAAAAATTGAGTAAATATAAAGAAGATGTTTTATTAACTACAATTTATAAGTCTGCATATTTTATATATAGTAAAAACAAAATGTCTTATAGTTAAATAAATCTTAAATACACCAATAAATAAATACTTTTATGTTTGAAAAATGAGCTGGAAAAAAACTCCATATAGAGATGATCACAATGTTGCCCAGTACTCTTGAAAACATTGGACACATAGGGCATGTTATAAATAGAGCCTAAATCAGAATTTTGAAAATGATAGAATCGTGAATGTGTGATGCAATCGATGCAAATAGTTTCCATATTAAACGAGGACTCATTCCTTAGTCCCGCATCTTTCTCAACAGTTTTTCTGATGAAGAGAAGGATCTGAAGAATTCTGCTCTGACCACCTCCCAGGCACAAGGGCTGTAGCTCTTCTCCTTCAGGTAGACAGCGATCCCTTGGAAGTATTTCTTCACAGCCATTCTGGAGTCCTCATGCAACAGGGAAGGGTCTTCCAGCCCTGTCTCCTCGGTCAGGCAGGCCTTCAGGTCATTCATCTGATCACGGAGGATAGTGCAGAAGGTTTCAATGAGACTGTGGTTCCAGGCAGCATATGAGTTCTGGGATGAGAAGAGGTTGAGTGTCTGGGTGGTCATCTCATGAAGGATAGAGATAGCATGAGTTTTCTGGACCTGCTTGCCGTCAACCTCCAACTGGGCCAAGCCAAAGTCCTGTCTGTGCTTCAGGCAGGAGAAAGTGAAGGTTCTCCTCATTTGTCCCAGAAGACTCAAGGCTGTTGTGTTCCCCTGCATATAGATCAGAGGCAGGGTGCAAGCCAGAGAGCAGGATGCCATGATTGTCAGCAAAGCCAGGGCCACCAATCCAGTCAATGGCCAGGCCATGAGATCCTGCTGATGCTGCTTGGCTGTTTGAGATGGATGTGTGATCCTGAATCTTTGCCTGTGGGTTCTCTGAAGACCTGGTGTGCTCAGACGACTTAAATAGGGAACATACCAGCTTCATTTTCTGAACGTCCTTGTTTTATTTTCTACTTCTGGTTTCCTGTTCCTTTTTACTTTCTCTGCTGGTGTTTTCAGTGAAGTTTCTCGCCACTTTGCTTTCATCACTACCTTCACTCCACATGCCACACGCACTTTCGTAGATTATGATTTCCTAAATGAATTTCTCATTACAGTTCAAAGGCACAGGTATGCAATATTTATGGACTGAGTTTGTGTTTTTATGCATAAAAATGTGAAAATTTTCAATTAAACATAGCGTTGAGATGACTACAAAAATTTTAAGCTGAAAATTGTATAATGCAATATTTACTGTTCGTATATCTTGAAAGCTTCCTTTATTTACAACAACATATGAATGTATAAAGCTTACGTATTTGCATGCTGTGGAGTGCTACTCTGCCATGATGAAAGATATAAACTTGAGTTATATGTGAATAATTGAGTTGACCTTGTGTCCTCATGTTAACTGAAATAAGACCCATGAAATTATACGTTGTATTTTTTTCAAGAATGAGAAATAAAAGACACATAATAGGAAGTTATGTGTCACAGTGGATGTTTCAGTTATGTCTGCCTTCATATATCAGCAGGTTGGGTTAGATCCAAAGCTTAGGTTCAAGTCACCATCAAAATTTTGATTTACAACCCAAATGTCAGGCACTTACGTCATGCTAAACAAAGACTCACTATTCCTGAAAAGCCTATGTAAGCCTAGGAAACATCAGTTGAGCCCTGATGTAGGTGAAAGCCAGATTCCTGATGTTCTTATGGAAGAGGAATCTCCTTCCAAAGAAGAACCACTTTCCATTCCATCCCTTCTTCCTGAAATCCATGATGTCACCTTGAATGGTGTGTATAGATTGAAATTAGGCATATTGTACAACTTCTTTGTAAGTACACCAGGAAGGAGATTGGTGTTTCTGATAAATTATGCATAGTATATAACCCTTTTTATAATGAAAAGTTTAAAGTGTTTCTTGTTAGGGTTGGAGTATATAACAGGTATTTATATTATTTCTTGTGGAAAATGTCTTGGCTTAAAACAATTTGAAATATAATCAGCTCTTGAGAACAACTGAGTTTGTAAAAGAAGGGTCCGTTTAGGGACTTCTTTTACATTTTAGAAATTGATTATTGTCACATTTTGAACAAATGTAATAATTTTAGTGATGATACAGAATTGGTACCTGTATATTAAATATTTTGATTCCTTTTTCCCCACCCCTTATCTTTTCTTCAACACCTCTTCCCTTTCCTACTTACAAATTTTTTCAATATGATCTTTTTGTGATCATTTTTTTCCTTTTCCCTTCCTTCCTATCTGCCTTTCTCCACCTCATTTGCTCTCTTCCTTTTGGAAAATTTCTTCTGTTTCACAATATCTATTGTGTATTTCGATCATTATTTAGTTTTTCAGTTTATCTAGGGGACAATGCAGTGATTACACACACAAGTCTGATCTATTTTACTTCAGTATATTGTCAAGTTGTATCTATTTACTTAGAAATGACTCAATCTTTTCTTGCATTAGTAGTTTCTGTTGTATGAAAAAAAACCCTGCACAACTTGTTTATTTGTTCCTCAGTTGTTGAACACTGGTTTGTTTCCAAGATTTAGCTATTACAAACTGTGATGCTGTATACTTGGGTGTGCATATATCATTGTGGCATAGGGAAAAGCTCAGAAAGCAAATAGCTGACTCAAATGAAACGTGTAATCCTATTTTTTTGAGAAGTCTCCATGCTGATTTCCACAGTAGTTGTACCAGTCTATACTCCCATCAATGTGGAGCATCGTTCCCTTTTCCCACTTCCCCCACATATTAGTGGATTTCTAGTTGATGCTCACATTATCTGGGGGAAAATTGTATGACAGCATAATATTAATTGCATCTCTATAATATCCAGTCATGTTGAACATTTTTCATGTATTTGTTTGTGATTTGAATTTCTTCGTCTGACAGGTGTTATTCCTAAGAGGTGTCCAGTTTTGAACTGGGTCTTTAATTTTGTGTGGTTCTAATTTCTTTTAATTCTCTAAATGTTACAGATATAAGTCCTTTGAAGAATAACTGGTTGAAAATTTTTTCCACTGTGTGGCTTGTTGTCTTTTCATTCCATTGGTGATTTTCTTTGATATGTTAAGTCGTTCATTATAATGATATCTCAGTTATTTAAAATTGTATTATTTGCTGTGTGGTCAGTGTTCTGATCATGAAATCTTTGACTGTACCTATGTTTTAAAGAGTCCTGTCTATTCTCTCTTTCAGCAGATATAGTATTTCCATTTTAATATTTAGAGCTTTGATCCATTTCAGTTTTACTTGAGTGCATGGTTTGGAGCTGGACCTAGTACTAGTATTTGACATTTTGGAAAGCTAGTTTTTCTAGTACTATCTGGTAACAAGACTAAATTTATTGAACATATTTAGCTCCTTTGTTAAAGATAACATGTCTGAATGTTTTTGGAGTTGTTTATACATCTTCTGATCAGTTCAACTGGACTCTTTCTTCCTTTCTTTTCTCTCTCTCTCTGTCTCTTTCTTTCTTTCTCTTTCTTTCTTTTTGTTTACCAACATGCATTAGTTCTTACCATGGTAGTTCAGTAGTATAATTTCAAGTCTGGGCTTGTAATTCTCCTTTCCTTGCCTTTGCTGTCCAGAATTGTTTTTGCTATTCTAGGTCTCTTCTGGTTCCAAATCAAGTTTAGAAGTGTTTTATCTAGTTCTTTGAAGTATGTTAATGGTTTTTGGAATATCTGTACAAAAATGCTAATATGTATGCTAATGGTATTTTGAAACTGCACAAATATTTTGAGACTATAGCTATTTTTATCTTGTTGGTTCTTCCTATTGTGGGCAAGAGCTAACCTTCCCTTTTCTGATATTTTAAGGGATAATATTTCCTTAGAGTTGTGTTTCTAGGGCCATTGTAGTACCTCTGAGTGTTCATAGTCCAACTAATTAATTTAGATAAATGGGTATTATAGCATCTCAAAGAGAATCCATGTTTGCAACAATGTTTTTCATATTGATTTGGATCAATCTTGCACTAGGATTCAAATACCTGAATGATGTACATCTACATGATTATCCTGTGTATCATGCAATAGAACAGATTATCTGCTAACGTTTTATTTTCGATAGAAAGCAAAATTGTTTCTTTTTGCATTGCAGTGACTGTGGATGAATAAAAAACAAAAATGTGTGCCAATGTGTAAAGCATAATGAAAGTAGGAAAAGAATGTCCTGCTGGAGGATTAGAGACAAATGTCACTTAGTCTCTTGTGCCCAAGAAGTAGTAGAACAAAATTTAGGGAAAAGCATAAGCAGAGGTTCGAATCAATGTAGATAAATGTGGAAGAACACTTGCTTGAAAGCTAAACTATGATTTACCGGTTCGGAAGTGGTGTTTATGTTTGTTGCATTCTGTCATCACAAGGAGGCAAGGAAGACACATCAACCAATTCAAAATTTGATACACAAAAGCAGAAATTTGTCAGAGCATAACGTTCTCTCTGGAATAAGCAGTTCTAGTTTTGTCAAGGTTTCACCTAGAAGATAATTAAATTCAGAGCATCAATATTCCTATTATCATGTCAGGGAAGAAGCAAATAAAATGTTTGTTTCAAAGTACACTTACCCCCACTTAGTTCATTTCAGTTAAAATGGTATATTAGTAAAAGTCATAAAGCATTAAATTTTGTAAATGTTTCTTGTAAGTCAAATACTGCTCTTACCACTTAGAAAATCAATCATGATGGAACATCTTGAGCACTGCTCTCATTTTTCATATACGTAAAAATCCTGCCCTGTCCCTGGCTTTTACGCCAGTGGAAACATCAGTGAATATAGAAGTCGGCAAAAGATCCCCCTTTATTCTCATTTACAACAGGAAACATGAAAGCACAGCTAACACATGAACTGTGCAGCCATTATTTACGCCATTGTGAGAAAAAAATTGCCAGTCTGAGTCACTAACCCTTAACTGTTCTCTAGGGATATTTTTGGCCAGGAGAATCAGAGCTGCCTCTAAATGATCAGTATTATCTAGTAAGTGTCTTCCTGCCTGTGGAATGCCAGACTTTCTTTCCAGCTCTCTTGACTCTCATTGACTCAAAGTTCATTTGCTTCATTTAGACAGATTATCTCAAAACCTTGTCCAATCTATTCATACGACTTCCTAACTTGTTTGTTTTATTCAAAATGCATCTTCCTAATACTGAATATATTTGCTAATCACTGTGTGCCCTCTGGTTTCATGCCTGAAGATATGAACTATAGGCTGGGAACTTAACTCAGCAGTGTAGTGTGAGATTGTGAGTTCAATCCCCAGTGCCCAAAGAATAAATAAATAAAATCCTAACACATGAACTAAATGTGAATGTAATCAAGGAACTGAGGCTCAGAGCTCACACATCTGGCAAGCATCACTCAATGGATGAGTGGTAATGAAATGGAAGTGTTGCTTGAGAAATAAGGTGAGTCCAGCACATTACATAAGAGTGATTCTGAAGAAGATAGTTCTAGACAGCTGCCTGCTCAGCTGCTCAGTGCCCCTTATTTGTATGTAACCATTTATCTGCTGTACTGATTATACTGATATATATTTAGCATTGGTTTCAAATACTGGGGTGAATCATGACAGAGGTAGAGAAGAGCATTGGAAGAAAAAGTATTTTTGTTGTGGTGGAAGATAGTTTTGCCAAAAAGAACATTGAAATGGAGCCTTTGTGTGTTCTTTTTCAAAATGATAGCTTCAGGATCTTCCTTTGAAGGCATGGATTCTCATTAAATGCACAGAAATGGTGAACAATTATTTCATTTCTTTATGTGTATTCATTCATATGAGATTGCAGGCTCCATTTCCATTTGAATTTCAAAATTTGACATAGAATACTTAGCGTACCAGTTCGCACTGCAATACCAATGAATTGTGAAGCTCTGGTCCAGTGGTTTGCCTGAAAATTCCTCATTCTTCTTCATACATGGCCTTTAAAAAC